TTATGATGAACTTTTTCTTCCAGAAGCGGCCCCACAAGAAGTGGACCTGGTCGAGCCCCGACGGTTCGACAAAAAATGAGATTGACTTCATTATGACGACCAGACGCCAACTGTTCAGTGATATCTCAGTGATCGCAAGGGTGAAAACTGGCAGCAATCACTGAATGGTTAGAGGCACACTGAACCTAAACGTTAAGTTGGATAGGTCTCGTCTAATGAAGTCAACGCTCCGTCCCCCTCGTGCTCTAATCCAGAATCCCGAAACTTTTCAGCTCGAGCTACGTAACCACTTTCAGTACCTAGAAGATTGCAAGGCCGTGGACGATATGAATGACAAGCTCGTGGAAACTGTCCATGTAGTCGGAGCTACGTTCTGCAAGACCCGCCACAGAAGAACACAAAAACTCTCCGATCACACTCTTAATCTCACGGCTGTTAGACGGGAGATGAGGCTGCAATCGTCAACAGATTTGACAGCATACAGGCAACTGAACAGACAGATCTCCAAATGCATGCGGCGAGACTTGCGCAACTTCAATACTGCTCGTATTGAAGAAGCGATTGAGCGGAATCAGGGCTCCAAAGTCTTTGCCAGAGATCTATCTGCCAGTAAGATCCAACTGTCAAAGCTGAAGACTGAGTAGTATCTCACTCAGAATCTCAGGTGTCCCAGAAACGATGCTGCCACAACATCGTTTCCGGGACACCTGAGATTCTGAGTGAGATTGAGAGGTTCTATGGGCAGCTGTACACATCATGTTTGGAGCCACACGCAAGTGTGAGTAACGATCCAAACCAAGTCTTATTCGACACTATTCCGATGATATCCCGGATGTCAGTCTGAGCAAGGTTAGAATGGCTCTCCAGCTCCTTAAAACGGCAGGGCCCCAGGCGAGGATGGAATTACAGCGGAGCTTCTGAAAGCGGGTGGAACACCGGTACTGGAAGTCCTTCAGAAGCTCTTCAATTCCATCCTCCATGGTGGCACTACTCCGGAGGCGTGGAGCAGAAATGCAGTAGTCTTGTTCTTCAAGAAAGGTGACAACGCTCTCTTGAAGAACTACAGACCGATATCCCTTCTGAGCCGCGTCTACGTGCTGTTTTCGAGAGTCATTACGAATCGTCTCGCAAGCAGATTCGACGACTTCCAGCCTCCTGAACAAGCTGGTTTTCGAAAAGGCTTTAGTACCATAGACCACACACATACCCTTTGGCAAATTGTACAGAAGTCCGAAGAGTACAATCTGCTACTTTGTCTGGCGTATGTGGACTATGAGAAAACCTTCGATTTCGTCGACATTTGGGCGATGCTACAGTCTCTTCAGCGGTGCCTAGTTGACTGTCGGTATGTTGAAGTGCTGAAGTGTTTGTACAGTAGGGCTACGATGGCTATCCGAGTACAGAACCAGAGTACGAAACCTATCCATCTGCAGAGAGGTGTAAGACAGGGTGACGTTATTTCCGCGAAACTCTTCACCGCTGCATTCGAAGACGTTTTCTAGCTACTGTGCTGGAAAGGATACGGTATTTACATCAATGCCGAGTACATCACTCACCTTTGATTTGCCGACGATGTAATCCTTATGGCAGAATCGCTGGAGGACCTTAGCACTATGCTCAATGACCTCAATGGTGTCTCCCAACGGATAGGTCTTAAGATGAACATGGACAAAACAAAGATCATGTTTAATGTCCATGTCACACCTATGCCGGTAGTTGTTGGGAACACTATGCTAGAAGTTGTTGACGAGTACGTTTAGCTGGCACAAATAGTCCGACTAGGTAAATCCAACTAGGACCAAGAGGTTAATTATCGGATTCAACTCGGTAATTCGGTTCCGTAAATTACGACACGTCTTCTTGTCAGCTATACCTCAAAACCTGAAAACGAGACTATACAACCAGTGCGTGTTGCCAGCGATGACCTATGGAACTGAGACATAGCCCTTCACTGTGGGCCGTATTAGGACGCTCAAAATTGCTCAGCGAGCTATGTAGAGGGCAATGCTCGGGATTTCTCTGCGTGATAAACTTAGAAAAGAGGCTATCTGCAGTAGAACCAGAGTGACCGACATAACCCAACGGATTAGTAAGTTGAAGTGGCAATGGGCCAGCCATATAGCTCGAAGAACCGACAACCGTTGGGAAAAAAAGGTTCTCGAGCGGCAGCCTCGCACTGGTAGGCGAAGTGTTAGGCAACCCCCCACTAGATGGAGTGATGCCCTGGTAAGACATGCAGGAAGTCGATGGATGCAGGTAGCTCAGGACTGTGCTTTGTGGCATACATTGGGGGAGGTCTATGTTCAGCTGTGGACTTGTGAAGAGCTGTAATGATGATGATGAATGATGATCAGGATTTCGGATGACTATAACATCTAGGAAGGCTAAAGAATTATTTGCTTCTAACTCCATTATGAATTGTATTTTAGATTTCATGGAGTTCAGGGTGTCTATAAATACAATTATTTTGTCAGGTGGTAAATTTGTGAAAGTGTCGTCTACGTACCGCTTGTAGAATCTTGGATTTACAGGAACAGTAAGAAGGACTCTCTACTCAAAGTGTTTCATGAATATGTCGGCGACTATAGGAGATAAAATAAGTCCATCGCCACACCGTCCGTCTACTTTCCTGTAGAACTTCTCTTTCCACAATATATAGCCAGATGTGAGGGAGTGTTTAAGTAATATTGCATATTTTTAGGCATGTTGTTTTCTTCCAGCTTGCTGGTTAAAGTTCCTAAGAGATGCTGTCATCAATAATGACTGCATCTCAATGCAGTCATTATTGATGACAGCATCTCTTAGGCATGTAAATACTGACTGAACATCAAAACTGACCATAATTTTAGTATCATCGAGATGTAGATCTATTATCTCACTAACAAAATGGAATAAATCCTTTGTGTGTGCTCTGGTATGTCCTCTCAGCGGTGACAGTATATTTCCTAAGCGCTGAACCAACTTATAAGTCGCTGAATTGATCTAACTCAATATAGGACGTAGTTGAACGTTTGGTTTATGTATCTTCGGTAAGTGGCACTATGAAATTTTCGTCGAAATTTTGTTTTTCGAAATATTTCTTTATTAAATCGGTAGTTGTTTTAAGCGTATTACTTGTTAGGGTATGTTTTGAGCTTTTTGTATGTATTTTCATCCCGTAAAAGTTGTTGTATTTTAAAATTACACTCTGACGTGACCATTACTACATAGCATTTATTAAGTAGCATTTTCTTTATCCTAGCGAAAAATCATCGGGCCGCCGAGCTTCAGCACTTCAAGCAAGTATTGCAAGTCAACAAGCTCCAACAAGGGTCCCGCGCCTACCTCACGGTGATTGAGTGAAGAAGGCCACAGTCGAGCGTGTTCCTACTCTACTACCATATTTCAGAGGAGTCAAAGACAAGGTTGGCTACATCTGGAAGCGAGCTCCTATTAGAACATTCCACAAGCCGCCAAAGAAGATTAGTCAGTTCTTACAATCTGTCAAGTATCATATTCCTCTACAAAATGCAGGAGTATACAGGATAGGTTGAGAATGTGGTCTCTTTTACATAGGACAAGCAAAAATATATACAAAAACCCGCGTGATAGAATATATAGCTGACATGAGGCAGCGACGCTCCGGGAAGTCTGTAGACTGTGAACCGGTTCAAGATCGTTCCAACCATTACATGGATTTGATAAACCACAAATCATCGCAAAAGAATACCGATTCCTACCAAGGGTGGTATGCGAGGCTATTGAAATTAAAAAACGTCCTAATTTCAATAGAGAAGATGAATGGGTGCTGCCATCTGTTTGAGATGCTATAATTAACAAAATTAAATACAAACCTAAGCATACTACTACAAGCCTTCAAGATACTTTAAGCTCGTTCTGCGTAGATCGGACCAATAATAATATTCAAAAACTGGGGTAGCTGGGCTAACAGACATTGAGGCGTCAAACATCTAAGTCTCAGAATTAAAAATAAGTTTATCAAACGCAATAAAATCCGTATAAATAGTTTTATTCAGTCATGTATAAATTACTCCAGTCAGTGCTCCGCGTTTTATGGTTTTACTTTAAATCTCGTAGTGACAAGTGTGTATATATAATTATTGAATTTTTAGCGACAGTGGAAGCCGGATTACTATCATTTTATCTTGTCTTGTTTATATTTACACTACAGCATTTTATCTTGTTTTATGATGTTTGATGAAGACTTTGTTTAGGTTCGATTCCCAGCCTGGTTGATTATAACTTGGTTAACTATTATTATGTTAACTTATTTTTGATAAAAATGTCGGGCATCTTAGTATTGCTGCGTAACGCCTTTAGAATTTTCTTAGTTTATTAATATATTATTTATTCTATTTAATTTACTATTCATTAGGTTGGTATATGGCGTGTTAACAAAACCGTATACTTACAGGTGGACCAATTTCTTTCCATTCGGACAAAGAGGTCGGTGCTGGAGCATCGGTAACACCCACTCCTTGCACATCGAACAAGAAGATCGAGTCAAGTCGGATAAAAAAGGACTCCAAGTCAAGTTAGTCAAAACCCTAGTAGAAGGTAGTAGCAGCTAAACCATTCGTTAGCTACTTCGGAAATGATTGCGAATGGGATCTCAATGATACACCACTTCCACTGAACAAAAAAAGAAAATCATGGGCACTGATTAACTAGGTACTTCTTTTAAACTTTTTTATTTATTACATACTTTCTTTACGCCTACTTATGTTTGTTTTCTACATTTCAATTGGTCAAACTTCAAAGCGGTTTATTTATATGTAACACTTTTTTTAATAATAACTTTAATGTTTGTTGGTAATAGCGGAAAAAAATATAATCCATATGATACTATTTAAATAATAAAATTATTACGATTCATCCAAATTTTCATATCATTTATATTTTTACAGGATGACGAAGACTCACGTCATGCCTTCGTACGTGCCGTTCCGTTCCGTAACTACTTGTCGCGATCCTAGAAGTCACGGTAATTTCTCGAGCTATTGGTGTATAATACCAATAAAATTAAATCCCTGGAAAAGGAGCGATGGAAACAGGCCTTGGTCACGTTACCCTCTGCTACTACTGAGGGCTCGAAGAACCGGAATGTCATCAAGCAATTAGTTGCGGATGCCGAGGAAAAATATAAGCGTATATTCATAAGTATAACTACTTATTTCTTGTTTACCTAATTTGGATTCGATTATCTTATTATTGTTACATACCTGTATACCATAAATTAACTGTGCATATTTATTTCAGAAAAACTAAAAAGTAAAACACCAAAACTGAAAACGGAAAACTTAATCACAACTATTTATATATATTAAACGTAATCATAAATATTATACAACTAAAACATTAGTTACAAACATTATTACTATATAATCATACAAAATATTAAAAAAAGGGGGTCATTGCAGAAGCGTGCTCGTCGCGACCCCTCCTAGCCCTTTCCAGGGCTGCAATTATACACAGCTGCGCACCCATGCAAACGAGGGTTAGGGCGTCCCCCCAAGGCGTCGCACACCAGCTCGTCCCCGTTGGTGTGGAATGCAGCGCGCAAAGCGGCGATGTGGACCGCCACCCGTCACGCACAGCCCGACTCGGCGGAAGGTGGAGGACGGAGTGCAGATTTGGCACGTGGAATGTTAGAGGGGCATGAGAGATAAGACGAATGAGTTGATCGAAATAATGAAAGAAAGAGAATTAGATGTCGTGTGTATGTCGGAGACCAAACGGAAAGGCAGTGGTACTGAAGAGCTCCCTGGCGGGACGTTAGCTATATGGTCCGGAGTCCCGGAAACCGAGAACCCCTGCCAGGGAGTGGGAGTGCTGTTGTCGTCCCTGTGGTCGATCTTATGACTGAATACAAGGCTGTGAACTCAAGACTTCTCTGGGTTCGCTTCAAAATGGGACTGACGAAGTTATTCCTTTTGGCTGTTTATGCGCCGGTAGCTTCGTCGTCCAGGGCTGAGCTGGAGGAGTTTTGGGAGAATGTAAGAGAAGTTCTAAATTTGGTTAAGGGAAACGAAAGAACTGTTGTATGTGGTGATTTGAATGGATGGGTAGGTATCGCTCGACCAGGATACGAGTCGGTGCTTGGAAAGTTTGGCGATAAAAGGGTTAATGATGCTGGCAAGCTTGTACTGGCTGTATGCAAGGAAAAGGGTCTTTTTGTGGCAAACACTATGTTTAATCACAGGAAAATCCATGTGTACACTAGAGAAAGAAAGAATGAGAGAAGTATGATTGATTTGTTCCTGGTGGATGACCGACTGCGAAAACAGGTGATGGATACACGAGTGTTCAGGGGTGCTGACCTGGGAACGGATCATTATCTAGTAATTACTAGATTTAGGGGTTTGTTCGCGGGTTGGCGCTACCGGACGGCAGTAACAGAACCACAGTCGGTCTGTCGCATCCGAAGCTGGAAGCTTCAGGAAGCGGATACTAGGGACAAATTTCACACGAGGGTAGCCGAAAAGCTTGACACCATCGATGGCAGGAAAGAATGTGTGGAGAGAACATAGCAGAACCTTAGTGATGGAATGGTAAGTGCAGCGGAAGAAGTATGTGGTACAACAAAAAGAGGTAGTAGTAAAAGAAGAGATGCATGGTGGAATGATGAAGTGAGAGAAGCTGTAAAAAAGAAGAAAAAAGCATGGTTAGACTACTTGGCCTCTAGTAACGATGAGCATATGAGAGAGAAGATGAAAGAAAGATATAAGCTGCAGAAAGTTCATGCGAAAACATTGATTGAGGAAGTACGTGAAAGGTGTAGAATAGAAGCGGACGAGAGGTTGTCGCACAACTTTAGGGAAAACTCCAAACTCTTCTGGAAAGAGGTTGGAAGGTCCCGGAGTGGTGCGACAGCCTTAAGAATGAACAAAGTGCTTTCGAGAACCAATGACGTCCTCTCAGAAAAATCGGACGTCATGCAGCGATGGAGTGAATTTTATAGAGAAATGTATGCGTGTCATGATCTTAGTGAAGGATCCGGGGGTGACGCCGTGACTGGCAAGCCAGACACGGACCTCGATGACACTGAGGTCATCAGCATGAAAGAGATTGAACGTGCGATTCGAAGTTTGAAATGTGGTAAGGCTACGGGACTAGACAGAGTTACTGCTGAAATGGTCAAGTACGGTGGGCCTCGCGTCTGGGACAGCTTCCATCTGCTGTGTAATTTGTGCTGGCGGACGGGAGATGTCCCGGATGATTGGCGATCCGCGGTCATTGTACCTTTATATAAAGGTAAAGGTTCACATTTTGACTGCGGGTGCTATCGGGCGATCAGCTTGACCAGTTTAGCAAGTAAAGTTTACTCGAAGGTTTTGACACGTAGGATGTAAGAGAAATCGGAAAGATTCTTATGGGAGGCACAATGCGGATTTAGACCTGGAAGAGGATGCACGGATCAAATGTTTTCTCTCCGCATGATCACGGAGAAGCTTCTGAGTGTTAACCAGAGGATTTTCTGTGCTTTTGTGGATCTGGAGAAAGCATTTGATAAGGTTATAAGGAAGAAAATGTGGGAACTGTTGCCGGGATATGGTGTGGATGGTCGATTGTTAAGGGCTGTGCAGTCACTTTACTATGACTGTAAAGCTTGTGTGCGGGTAGGGCATGACCTGTCACCCATGTTTAGCGTCCAAGCGGGCGTAAAACAGGGTTGTGTCATGTCTTCCTGGCTGTTCATACTGTATCTCGACAGCTGTTTACAGAAGCTGAAAAATAGCTGTTTGGGTGTGAAATTGGGTGACATAAAAGTTAATTGTCTGCTGTATGCTGATGATGCAGTGCTTATTGCACCATCAGAAGCAGAACTGCAGGCATTAGTCACGTGTATGAAAGAGGAATGTGAAATTAAAGGTCTCCGTTTGAATGCTAATAAAACTAAGGTTCTGGTATTTGAAAAGGACGAGAGAGAGAACGAAATGTGAAATATGGGTAAATCAGGAATGTCTAGAACAGGTAAATGAAATTGTATACTTGGGGAGTGCTTTTAGCCGGGATGGAAGATGTGATTTAGATGTGGATAGGCGTGTCGCTGTCGGAAACAAAGTCAATGGTGCCCTGAATGCATTAGTAAAAAGGCAAGGCGTGGTGAAGAGTGCACGCCTTTCAATACATAACGCAGTGTTGGTACCGACATTGTTATATGGCAGCAAAACCTGGGTATGCCAGAAGAAGCATAAAAGCAAGTTCAATGCAGTGGAGATGCGATCTCTTCGTAAAATGTGTGGCGTTACCATAGCCGACCGAAAGCAAAACGAAGAGATTCGCAATATGGCAGGATTGAAAGATGACCTTATCACAAAAATTGATAGGGGCGTACTCCAATGGTTTGGGCACGTTGAACGAATGAGTGAAGACCGAATGGTGAAGAAAATATATAAAGCGAAAGTAAATATTAAAAGGTGTCGAGGTAGACCGAGACTAACTTTCGAAGACCATGTGAGCAAATTGCTCGAAGAGGGGAGGGTCAAGAGTACTCGGATACCTAGACGTGCATGTATGAAGAAGTTAATGAACCTGAAAGAAGCGAAAGAGGTATGTAAGGATCGTGACACTTGGCGATCTGTTCTCTGGCTACCCCGTTAGGGATTGTGCGTGAAGATAAGTAAGTAAGTAAGTAAGTAAAATATTAATAGTGCATCACTGTTTTATATGATATATATATATATATATGGTAATTTCAAATCCTCTGGAAGAATTCATCAAATATATTGAACCGAATATATTTCATAATTATTATAACAAATTGAAATGTAGTACATATAAATGTGAAAATTTGTGTTTAAAATTTTTAAAAAGCTTTTGGTTTCTAAATAAATTCTAAGTACTACATGTTTTGAATTTAGTTTGTCAGAATGTCTTTAACTCTAACAATCACTGGTAACAAATCCATTATATATATTTTACAATCTGAATTTCAATCTCCTTTGCTATTAGATAATAGTTTAATTATGGGTGTGGTTTACTGTTTTTTTTTCTACATCCAACTCTATTTCTAACATAAATGAAAGCAATAGTGTATTTGCCTCTGGAAATAATAACATAGTAAAAATTCCATATGGCATGATCTATCTGCTATAAATAAATATATTAAATCGAATATCAAAGACTGTAACATAATAACTTATCCAAATGATAATGCATTGAGATGTTGTTTATTTTATAATAAATCAATTTATTTTGGGGTAAAATAGTACTGGTTCTTTGCTTAGATTATCGAACGATACGCATATAATACATGAGTTCACACTTGATATTCCTCCAGTATACAACTTATTAAAGTAACAAAAAATGTTGTTTATTTCCCCACAAAGAAAAATAGATTTCATCGGTGATAGTAAAAATTTTGGATTTAGAGAGTAAACTAATTAACTATTAAAAAACAACAATTAACAACCTAAAAAATGAGTATTCTAAAATACTGAAAATTTCGAGAATCAAGGAAGTGACACAACATTACTATATAAAAATGTATTTATTGCTGTTCGAAGTATTCTCCGCGAAATTTGACACATTTTTCCATACGATGGAACCAATCATTGAAGCAACCATTCCATTCGGAAGTTGGGGTCTCCAAAATGGCCGTTTTGTAGGCGACAGCTTCTTCAGGTGATGAAAATCTCTGTCCACACAATTTATTCTTTATTTTAGGGAATGTATAGAAATTATGAGGGCTTAGGTCGGGGCTGTACGGCGGATGGTCTAATAATTCTATGTTTTCTTGCTCTAAAAACTCTTTTGTTCTGTGTGCTGTGTGAGAACTCGCATGTTCGTGATGGAGGATGATGCGGCGGTTCTCTTTACGGAGTTCAGAAACGACCTGTGGCAAAAAAAATGCTAGCATAACATTTTGCATTAACCGTTCTTTGTCCATCAAGAGGAATAGTCGTAACATGGCCGGTTTTGGAGACAAACGTGGCCACCATTTTTTTTACAACATTCCGTGAACGAACTATTTTTGTTGGCTTTAACTCATTTTCGAACACCCAAACTAGATACTGGTTTTTTGTTTCGGATTCGTACACGTACATCCAGGATTTGTCTCCTGATACGATGTTGTATACAGTATTTGAGGATCCTGCGTGGAATCTTTCGAGAATTCTGACGCACCAAGTAACGCGAGCCCCTATTTGCTCTTCACAGAGCGAATGCGGTATACATCGGGAAAACAACTTTTTTACACCTAATTGTTCATGCAAGATTATTTATATTTAAATAATGCCATTGTCTAAAGTTGCCTGAATTTCGCGGTATGTCACATGTCGATCTTCCTCAATCAGCTTACGCACAGCATCACCGTTTTCTTGGGTGACTGCAGTTTTTTGACGACCTTGACGGGGATCATCACAGAGCTTGACACGTCCACGTTGAAATTCAGCAAACCAGCGATAAATTGTGATTTTGGATGGGGCTTCATCGCCAAATGCAGAAATTATCCGGTCAACACACTGTTTTTGTATTAAACCACTTCGAAAGTCATAATAAATCATCGCTCTTGAATTTTCTCGAGTCAATTCCATTTTCTCAACGATTAAACAAGTTTGACAAAACCTCGTGACAAGACCAAGAATATTTTTTTAAATAAATAAATGGTGTTCGATTTTTAAAACCAAGGAGTTTTCATTTAAATGTATTTTAATATGACAGGAATAGTCGAAATATTCCATTCCCGATACTTTTAGTGCAGCCTAGGTACCAGATTATCCGCAGTTCGATAATTCTATCGAAAGTTATGAAACTCATACTTACAAACCTTACAACAGTAGTTTTAATAAAAATAATGAAATAAGAATACCAATTCATCAACATAATATCTAGTTTCCTTTACCTTTAGCAAGTGCAATATACACTGAGAGAAAATTCTGTGTACAAGCTAAAGATCCCGCTGGAGCAACCATAACAAAAAAGTTCATCTAACTAATTATGCCATTTCCTTTTTATTTCAAAATATTAGATATGAAATGAACGGTGTAGAAATAGACCATATATAGAGAAATGTTAGAATACCAACAATAATGAAATCTTTACTATCTATGAGTAGTGGATAAAATTAAGCAGCAGCTATATAGGGCCGGCACGCAAACGGATTTCATGATAAGGACGTTAGGTTTTGTGTCTTAATACCTTTAAGCAAGCTATTAGGCTTTGCAGAAGATTAGGCCCATAGCACACGGCGTATTTAAAACGCGCAGGAGACGCGCGTTTCAGGAACGCGCGTCTTCGGTGCCGTAGACGCTGATTGTTGCGTTTGCATTGATGATACAAGCGCGCGCATGAAGCGCGTATAGCGTCAGGAACGGAGTAGGGGCAGGGGGGGGGGCGCTCACGCCACCACTGCACCGTAGGCATGTCGATTTACTCTTAAAAAATCGATCTTTGAATCGATTTGAATCGAAGGTACTTGAATCGATTATAGATTAAATCGAGGATTAAAAGATCGATTTTCGATTAATCGCGACATTTTCAAACATGAAATTTTAAGAATTTTCTATTTTTTTTCTTAAACTTCTAAACTGTTATATTTTTTTTAAAAATAATATATTAGTAATCTTATTGATTAACGTCACTAATATTCCTTTTAACCACTCCTGGTAAGCTTGAAACGCTTGTGTTAGGAGTGGTTCGCACATACTCCACTCGATCATTTTTTTACAATGTGATTCCATGTAACACTTTTATTTGACATTTTAGGCTAAAAACAACAATACTTTAACAAAAATGCAAACTGCATGATTTCTCGATAAATCTGTTTCAATCTAGTAACTCACTATTTATCATATTGAAATGAATGCTACACGAACACAATACTGGGTATTTCCTTACTATAAACCTCTATAAACTTCATCGTACGGTATAATATTTATTTACCCACACTGAAGTCCACGCTAACGTTCAGTGGTCGATTAAAGATTTTAAATTTGTTGCTTAATATACCAAATGTACATTCAATGTATCGTCTGGCACGTGTTAAGCGGTAATTATATATTCTTTTTTCTCGTGGCAAGATTTTTCCAGCGTAAGGTCTCTGTAAATGTTGAGATAATGCAAAGCCTTCATCTCCAACAAACGTAAATGGTATTGGCACTCCATTATTAGATATTGGTCTCGCATTTGGTATATTATAATTTCCTTGCCTTATCTTTTTGGTCCATTCACTACATTCATTTATTGTTGAGTCTGCAGCCTTTCCATAGCATCCAACATCTATATCGATGAATCTGTAATTTGCGTCACATATTGCAAGCAATACGATGGAAAAATATTTTTTATAATTAAAATACTCTGATCCATTATGTTGAGGTTTTATAACTCTAATATGTTTCCCATCGATAGCCCCAAGTAGGTTGGGAAAATTTGCGTATTTCATAAATCCTTCAGCAGTTTTTAGATGTGATTCTTCGGTTGGTTCTGGCATGCAGATGTTTTTATATTTTTGTCACTGTTTCGTGGACCCTAATGCCTGCCGTCGTTTGTCCACACGTAAAGTCGTAGTGAATATCTGAGAAATAGCAACCCGTAGCTAAATACCTGAAAAAAATTACATTATTAAAACTTCTATTGTCATCGTAAATTTTACATATTTAATTAAAATTAACCTATAACTACTTATTTCAAATAAATTAAAATTAACCTAATAAATAACTAAACTCTTGACATTATTATTGTTTTCAGTCATTGATCTTCAAAAAAATGGAAGAGTATTAAGGACGCTTATAAAAGAGACAAAGCGAAGAACAATAACTGTTCCAGTGGATCTGGAGCTAAGCCTAGAAGACCGTACATATATTCCAATTTGCTAACTTTTTTAGACCCGCTTTACGAAATAAGATCAGTCATCGAGAACATTACATGAAAATAGATACCAAGGTGCATTTCAATATGAACATCAGTATGGATACCAGTTTGGATATCAGTCTGAATTTCAGCCTCAATATCCAAGTAATCAATCAGCGCCAAGAAACGAATCTGTCAGTTCACTCCAAAATTTGGATAGCAATGAATCGGTTACAAATGACTCCGATATCATATCTGACATGTATGATGATATTGAATAAATCTTTTTCTCTTATTAATAATCTAAGTGCACTTATAACATTTTACGATTGATTTAAAACTGTAACAGGTCAATAAATAAATAAATACATAATAAATAAATACTAGTTGTTTTGTTACCTCAATGTGATGAGCAAACGTTCTTCTGCCGATATACATGATCTCATTACTGTATTTTGACGAGTTAACTCCGGTTTTAGAATCAAAAGAAGTTCTTGGAATGACGAATATGACATTCGATAACACTTATAAAATTTCTTCCATCTTTTATGTATTACCAATTTTTTAAACGTTGTATGATAATGACCACTCAATTTTTTTTCACTCGTAAATGGGTCTATCCAATAGATTCGCTTTTTTTTTTTAAATTTTTTTTCTTTTTAAAAGAAGTACTAAAGCCAACGTAAGCAGTGTTGTCTCAAACGACGCCATTGTACAACTGAAGGAGGAGTCACTGATCTGAAAAACGCAAAATCTACGAGCGCCTACAGCGCGTCTGTATCGCTGTATCTGCGCGTATACGTGCAGTAGAGGCGCGTTTCACGATCGCCCCTGTGTGCTTCAGTTACAAGGTTGCGATCGAATCCCGTTTGAATCGCGTATACGCGCGTAATCTGCGCGTCGTCTGCGCGTTTAAAATACGCCGTGTGCTATGGGCCTTATAGAAAAATAATTATAAAATGTAAACACGAACTAATACTTAATTGAACTAGTACAAATTTTAATAGTATTGTGTTTGAAAAAGAAGACTCTGTTAGAGTAAGTTTACAAAAAGTATCTAAACAGCAAAATCTTTCTTTGATAAAACGTGTAAATAAAGACAAGCCTGTTCGAACCGCATTTAGAAATCGGGATCTATATGACTATTCATTATTACCACAGTCTAATAAACACGCATGGTCTGTCAAAACAACTTCACAATTAGATAAGCCGCGTTATGCTACGAGCACTTAACTATAACAAAAATAATAAAGTTAAAGACAGTGCCATAACAAAAAAAGATAACAAAAATCAAAATAAATATCCAAATTAACCAATACTTACACACATAAAAAAAATATTTCACCTCGGGTCGGCTTAGTATTTTAGTACCCTTGTAACATGACTTATATATTACTAGTTGTAACCTTTTATTGATAAAAGGATTCTATTTTGTTTCCTCGTGTGAATTTATCCCTGTTCATATATTACTCAATAAATCAAAACGTCGACAATTAAGCTGCATTTACATCCTTTATCATCAGTACTTATCAGTTCTATTGTTCGATTTAATCCCGAACTGTGATTAATTTTATGACGCATAGTAAAAAACATTTAATTGCAGCTCGTAAAACTGAATAATGGCTTTTATGTTCTTTTAAGTACCGTCAGTGCAGCCTGTCAGAAGTATGTTATACAAAAAAAAAAAGTGTAGTATAAAATAAGAATCATACTAAGTTGTATGGTTTGTACTTCCACGTTAGACTGATAAAAAGTCTTTATATCGAATCTTGTAATGAAAATTATTTTATCCGCTTGCGAACTCTTTTATGTAGACTTTAAAAAATAAGTAATATTTAAAGTGTGCGTTGCTTCGGGTATTTAAAATTTTCGCTATAATTTTGCCAAATTTTAATAATTTATTTTCCTGAACAAAGGATATTCAAATATCTACGGGCGATGGACACAATAATGCATTCAAAATCATAATATATTATATATTCCCTGATGTATTACAATTTAGAACGCTTTGTGTACTAACGATCTGTACCTTCATGTAACAAGTCAGTTAGTCTGGTGTGATAAGACCACGAGAGGTCGTATTCTTGTGCTAAAACTTGACTTAAAGAAAGTAATTTGTGACAGAAATATACGGAATTTGTTATAATTATTTAAATACACGTTTTTGCTATTTAAAACTAGATTAGTAGATTAGCGTTTGACGTAAGAAATCAAAGTTTTTGTATGTCAATGTTCGCTTTGGCTACTCTTTAAACCTGTGAATCTCTTTGACCTGAACCAATTACATGACGTAGAGACAGATACCGGGGTAATTTCATTAGTTTTCCGTTTTGATAAATATGGCATGGCACAGTAAAGAGATTGAAGTTTATTAAAGAAGCTAGTTAAAGAAGAAACATATTATATAAGATTATGACAGCCTGAATATTTCTATAAATGTTTCATAAATAAATAAAATACATTTTTAGTAAAAGTTTTGAAGATTGTGGACGAAATATAAGCAAACCCTTGTTATTGATTCTAGCCAACTTTTTGAAAGCTGTATAACATCTATATAGATTATAATATAATATACAAATGGTTTTGCTGCAGCCACAGTATGATTGTAACACGAGTGAGTCAGGTCGATCGGGAATGGACCACGCTTTCACAGAATACCAGCGTAAAATTGCTGCTGTATTTTGTATGGTGAGGAAGAGAACCAGATATTGATTTTACTGATACCACGCATTCCATCATAGAACAAATCTGAGACCACCCCCTGCAGTTTTAATTAAAAATATCATATCACTGAACAAAATATAGCTTTAGCTTTAGTTGTTGCTGGAAGTGTAAGATTATTGTGTATAATTTCATATTAACTGTTATAATGTCTACAAAGACTTTTTTTATTTAATTGTAGACTTTTATATTAATGTGTTGCTGAACGATTATGACATTATTTTTGTTACGGAATCCTGGTTGCAATCTAACATATTTAATTCAGAGTTGGTCGATGAACGCTATGATGTGTATAGGAGAGACCGTAATTATTAATGCATCAACCTGTAAAAAAACTGGAGGGGGAGTAGCGATAGCAGTACATAAACATTTCTAATCATATAAAATAGAAACTAAAAGTATATTAGAAGAATTATGGCTTACTATTCAACTAAAGAGAGGAAAATGTTATCATAATATTTGTGTTGGTGTAGTTCACCATCTTCCACCACCTATAAATCAGATAAACTTGGAACATTTTGTAGAAAATTTTAGTAATACCATATCTGAACATTTGGGTGCTCTTCTGGTTGGGGATTTTAATATGCCAAACATAAAATGATCTAAAAGTGACGATGGCTGTTTTTTTGAACCCCGTTAATTTATATTGTTCTTCCTATAATTTTATTTGCAAATTTTAGCTTCGAATAAATTGAATATAATCGTGTACAAAACAAAAGCCATAAAATACTTGATCTCGTGTTTTCTATATTTTCAGATATTTACCTCGACTATAGTGGCATTCCCTTGGTCAGAGTTGATATATATATATATATATATATATATATATATATATATCACTCTCCATTGAAGTTCACTGTTTCACTACCCTCATATCAAAATTTGCACCAATGCGGAATTCCACAATTTAACTTCTTTAAGACAAATTACAGTTCTATAGTCGGTGGTTTGCAAAACATGATTAGTTATCGTTGCTTCTGCGCCTTGATAATGTCAATGAAATCGTTAACGTTTTTTACGCAACATGACGCAAAATTATTACAGTTCATGTTCCTCTGACTAAACATAAATACAATGGTTATCGGGCATGGTTCTGCGGAGATTTCATCAAAATTTTAAAAGAAAAAAGATTAAATTCGTCTACGTTATAAAAATAGCATAATCCTTTAAATAATCAGTTATTAATATTAAAAATTAAGTGAAAAATTATTATCTCTAAGTTATAATAACTACTGTAACAGATTCGAAAGCGGCATCTCACAAAACCCAAATATATATAATACTTTTGGACCTTTTTAAAAGATAAACGTAAAAATAGTAGTGATAATTTATCATCTATGTTTTCGAAAAATGAGTGAGCTGAGCTGCAAAGATTTGTGAGTTGTTTGCAAAAAAATTTTCATCAATTTACCACAATGCTACATCATCTACTAATTTGTACAACTGAAATAAAAATAATACTGAAGAGCAGCTGAATGCCTTAAATCGTCTAAAACTAAATGAATTAGAAGTCTTCATCAAATAACAAGACTTGTTTTAAGTAAGGGACCGGGATCCGATGACATACCACCAGTATTTATTGTCAATTGTGCTAAAAAAACTGTCACGTCCCCATAATTTTATAATGCCAAAAGGGAGCAATTTTATATACAAACATTTGCTCAGCTGTCAGAACGTGATCGGCCAGTAAATTGCAAGATTAGAACGGATCGGTATTTCTATTTCTAATCTGATACACGCTTAAGAAAATACGCAGGTAAAGTCTATCAGAAATTCAAATAACTCCTACTCCATTAAATACTTTGGAAACAATGAGTATATTTCTACACATAAACACCCGTTTCATTAAACAAAGAGATAAAACTTTAGAGGCAGGTATGGCAATTTACAATACTGTGCTTTGTTATTTGTTATTTACTATACGGTAGTAAAAGTTGGTAGAAACGCCGTCATTCAGGTGTATGTTAGGGTAGAATCAGGGTAAGAATTTGCGTGATATGAGAAAATGCGGTTTATAGCAAGATGTTGTGACGAGGAATAAGAAAGGAATGCTTCGGTGGTTTGGTTATGTAGGAAAAATAAGTACGAGTAAGGTAAGTGTGATAAAGCTTAATGTTGTAAAAGTAAACGACAGAGCCGGCATGGGACTAAACGGAAGTTTATCTATCAAATTGGCAATATATTGAAGACTAGCTGTGCCAGAATCTTCAATCGCATAGAACGTTTGTTAGTACCTTTTTTGTTTTGAAGCTTTATTGCTTGGGTTTTAATAATATATCTTAACTGTACCAACTCAATCACTAAAGTATAGACATTTTTATTCATAAAAGGAGCAATTTGATCACGAAACCGATCAAGCGATACTATGTTGAAATAAAACTAAGCAACGTAGATATGCACTAAAATATAATTAAAAAAAAACTAAATAAGAGGTTAACAATTAGCCTAATTTATAAAAACATAGTGTTAATTTATAAAAAACATAATGAGGAAATGACTATTCGTTTGTCATGCAGTAGTGACGTAAATGAATCCATCAATCCTTTATGTCCCGGGGCAG